TTGGGGGGGGGGGTTCTCGAGTTTTTTTTTGGTTTTCCTCGTTTTTTGTTTTCTCCTTTTTTTTCCTCAACATGTTTTGTTTGCTCGTGTTAGATCAAGTGCAACTGACATGGCTGACCCATGAGACGACTGCAAGCCTCAAAACGCGCAAAAAGCGCACTACCAGGGTCCCCTGTTCTGCTAAAAATAGGGGACTCCTTCCCAAACAGAAAGAATGTTATTTTCCTTTTGGCTTCCCTTTCAAGCCGTCCAAAAAGGGTATGGTTTTTGTTGAGGATACCCATTTTGAGGTTAATTTAGAGGGAATTCACATGAAAACCAGTCCCGCATGTGCTCTACGCAAACACAAGTTGCACATTGCATTCGGGGGGCGGCCTTAATTGAAGAAAACATGTATCACACATGTTCCTGAACCCTCAGTCTAACTGAGTTTATCGAACCGATACTTTTGGGGGGGGATTTTCGTGGCAGAGCAAAATGCCCAAGGGCTTTCTCTTGGTCAATCTCAATCGGGTTGTATGAGTATGGGGTCAACATGAGTGTCCTTTGTTGAAGCCTCCTATTCCTTATCGCTGTGGGCTTTTGCGCCTTCGGGGTGATTTCAATGTGGTTTCCCTTTACAGTAAGGCAAGCCGTGTTCTTGGTCGCCCCCTAAAATGGCGGTTTTCCTTGGCTGAACCAACCTTTGACTTTGCGTTCGCACCGCTCCGTCAGAACGGCGAATGAGCAAGCACTGAGGGCCCGACCAATCTAGATGGCAACTGCTATGCAGCTCTCAGAAGGCAACCAGGAGCCGTATGCTTGGTTGTTGCCCCCTTGGCGGTTTTCCTTTTGGCCTCCCTTTGAGCACACCTGGAAAAGAGTGCGTTGCCAGTTGTTGCCCCCTTGGCGGTTTTCCTTTTGGCCTCCCTTTGAGCCAACCTGGAAAAGAGTGCGTTGCCAGCTGTTGCCCCCTTGGCGGTTTTCCTTTTGGCCTCCCTTTGAGCCAACCTGGAAAAGAGTGCGTTGCCAGCTGTTGCCCCCTTGGCGGTTTTCCTTTTGGCCTCCCTTTGAGCCAACCTGGAAAAGAGTGCGTTGCCAGCTGTTGCCCCCTTGGCGGTTTTCCTTTTGGCCTCCCTTTGAGCCAACCTGGAAAAGAGTGCGTTGCCAGTTGTTGCCCCCCTGGCGGTTTTCCTTTTGGCCTCCCTTTGAGCCAACCTGGAAAAGAGTGCGTTGCCAGTTGTTGCCCCCTTGGCGGTTTTGCTTTTGGCCTCCCTTTGAGCCAACCTGAAAAAGAGTGCGTTGCCAGTTGTTGCCCTCTTGGCGGTTTTCTTTTTGGCCTCCCTTTGAGCCAACCTGAAAAAGAGTGCGTTGCCAGTTGTCGCCCCCTTGGCGGTTCTCCTTTTGGCCTCCCTAGCCAACCTGGAAAAGAGTGCGTTGCCAGTTGTTGCCCCCTTCGCAGTTTTCCTTTTGGCCTCCCTTTGAGCCAACCAGGGAAACGAGTACCCGCGAGAACAGACAAGATCCACAGGACGCATTGAGCGCGGTGGTCTTCGCCAAAGGCGCGCTCTGCTTCCAGCAAGGCCCGGAAGATGCTGATGCCCCGCGGCGAGATCTGATCGCTTTTTGGGCTCGCCCGCTCGCCCAAAACCGATTCCTGTTGGCTGTGTTGTTAGGTGCAGTTCTAGCTGATTGAATAGGGGGTTATAACAAATAGGTCCGTATGCACTTGAAATTATGACCGTGCCAGTAGCACCCAGAGTCAATGGGATTGCTTGTTTCGGTCCGTTTGGGTTTGGGAGTTACCAAATTTCCCACCAAAACCGGGGAGTGGAAGCCAATTTTCCCACCCTGTGGCCAGGTCCCCTTAAGGGTAACTGGGACACTCCGGAACACATCCAATCTAAAGCAAAGGGGCAGCTGCTTCGGGATTCTAAACAAAAGGCACAGAGGGCTGGTTTTTGCCGGGTTCTCGGTGTTGGACCCCCCTCTGCCCGCAAAAAACTGGAAGCGGGCTGTCTGGCTTTGGATCGGCACGCGTCAACCATCACTTCTCCCATGGATTCCCTTGAAACCAGCATCACGTTTGCCCGATCACCGGTTCTTGGGACAGCAGCTGTCCGCACCCTTCTGCACGCTTCTCTGGACCCTTTTCCTGACAACTCCAACCAAACGCCACACGCCTCCCTTACTTTTTCCATCTTAACGCGAGACCTCACTGCAGGAGCTCCGCTCGAGATACTTTGGATGTCAACGAAATGTCCAAGTTGACCTTTGGCCAACCCCCTAAAAACTCGTTTTTTTTTTTGTTTTTCTCTGAGAAAATGGGTCTCCCTGTTCATTTTGGGGCTGCGCAGCCCCCGGTTTTTGGATTCAACTCCTTGGCATAGGTGCCCTTTTTGGTTGATTTGGTTGAAGATAGAGGGCGAATCCTGGTTTGCCTGGTGGTTCAATCAACTACCAGGGCCATCTATTTTCAACCAAAAAGGACGCCTCTGCTCCTTGGGCCTTTGCCCTTGCCTCGGCCGAGGTTCCAGTGCCGGAAGATCTGCCGGAGCTGCGGGATGCCGCGCTGGGGGCGCTGCTGGGGCTTTGCGCCCACGGCGTCGCCTTTAGGCGGTTGGGCCGTGGGGCGGTTGGGTTGGGGAAGGGGGGGAGGGAAGGGCGGGCAGGGAGCAGAGGGAGAGGCATGGCTGAAGTTGTGAAGGGGCTGGGAGTTTGCCGCAAGATCCAACAGGCTCTGGCTTGCGACTGTCCAGAATGTGGGTGGGTGAATCATTTTCTGGCAGGGTAGGAGACAATGACCTGTGTGAGAATTAGTCTTATTTGCCCAGAATCAGCAGGGTTGGCCAACGCTGTTTAAATTTGGTTCTGTACAGGGCAAGCAACAGGCAACCACTGCAACCGGAGTTTCTTTACACAATGGCCACCCCCGTTTTGACTATTTAGGCCCGTACAGCAAACACCACACATGTCAGCCGGAAATATTGAAGTGGCAACCATCAAGATGCTTATCAAGCCCAGTAGGTGTTGAGACAGGGGCTTGACCCGCCGAACTCTGGTTGCAGCTCAGGGATTGCTTGGATCCAGAGGAGAACATCGACATCTCCATCCGGAACGAACAGCTGCTGGGTTTGTCAGGTTCGTCCCAAAAGTCCGGATTGTCAGCTTTCTGGTCTATTTGAGGTTTGGGACATGTAACTAAAAAACCGGGGCCCGGCCGGACCAGGAACTGCTCATGTTGAACGTGGCTCACTTGGGAAGGGCATGCGTCACCGGGCTTGCACAATGGGTTTGGTCTCGCAATATACGCAGAACAGCCACAGGAGGGCTCCGCATTCACAGGTTTGTTTCTCGTTTCACAGGTGAAAAACATGGCTGTGGTTACCTATCGTGTGGCTGGCAGAAATGGACTTGGAGGCCCAGGGCTGACGTAAGCAGTCCATGCCAAGAATATTGGGTCCCCCAATCCAAGCAGGGTATTGTCGAATGTTTGCAGGGGCGGGGGGGGGGGGGTTGTTCAAACTCAGTCCTTAATCCTTGTGCCAGACGGTAGTGGTTTGCTTTGTGCTAGTGGTGTCCCACTACGGATTACGCAATAGGATTTGAAATCCCGGAAAACGCACCGACTTCCCATATGGGGCGTATCATGTCGGACTGCCACGTGTTTTCATATGCGAGCTTCAGCTCACAGCGCGCGCTAGTCGTTGCGAAGCCATTCAACCAGATTGCTCAGGGGAACCATGCTTATTTAGCAACCAAGTGTTTAATCCTGGGTTCCCGGTGATGCTTTTGCTTTCTTGTTTGGGGTGGGTGGCTGCTTGTGCAGGGCTCCTTAAAAGATACATTTTGCCCATTTGAAACGTGGCTTTTTCCACCAAAATAAAGGGACACCACCTTTTACAGGGCAACGTTCAGGTGTAAAGTGTAAGGATCCCTGTTGTGGTTTATCTCCTGTTCTTGGCATGTTTTGGAATTTCTTTGCTCACGTTTTGTAGTGGTTCCACTTTCTGAGCATCGTTGGCTTTCTGGCGGGCCGGGATCCTTCTGGCTTGCGTGCCATGTTCTAAGCAACCTCCTTCCCTCACTTCCTGAGTTGCTGAACTTGAAACTTGTTGGGAAGACCAAAAGTGGTTGTAAGCTAAAAGTTTAGGCGTTAGTCCACTCAGGATTCAAGGATCCTGAACTTCTCCGCCTTTTGGGAAGATCAAAAGGGGTGTTAGCTAAAAGTTGAGACATGTTTGGCCGGTCCACTCGGGAGGTAAGGATCAGCTTCTGCCCGTTTCGCGGTCCACGCAGCGAAGCGGCGCCTCGGTCGGCGCGTCTGAGGCTGGCGTTACACCGGGCGACGGTGGCGGCGGCGGCAGCGCGCCAGCAGCTTATGCCCTGCCTGCTGGCGCGGGTTTGGGGGGGAGGGCCCTTGAAAGAACCGGTTTCCTTTTTCCCTTGAAACACCAAAAGCGGTCCACCGTTTTTGAGAAACTCCCATATGTTGCCTTTAAACATCACCCCGCCAAAAGGACATCACTTGTCTGTAGAAAACCAGGCGGGCTAGGCAGTGGGCAGGCCGTTGGCTGGGGAGATGCCTTGGAGAGAACAAATAACTCTGAGAAAACGCGCTCTGAAGCACTTGTCAGGGTGCTGGATTTTGATTTGGCATTTTCTTAGCTTCAGGTGTAAGTCCCAATTTCTGCGTAGATTTCCCTGTCCCAAGCTGTTCTCCGAAATTCTCCCCATACAGGCCTACCCCTGGGCCACCGGCCTCACGGGACCTGAGCGGCTGCCGGAGCTGGTTGGCTTCCTAAGGGCACCTCGGCTTCCAAGTTGCCTTGGCGCTTCGACTTGCAGACCTTCAGCCTTTACCCAGGCTCCGAGGGTTTTTGTATTACACCCTGGGTCTATTTCCCTTGGGAAATGACCCAGAATGCTTCAAAATAGCACGGCTTTATCCGGACATGTGCCTAAATGGGGTCAATACCCAGTGTATTCCCAGAATGTAATACACAAAGCCTTAGCCAGGCGATTCGGACCCACTTGTAAGACTTGGATCTATTTACAGAGGTCTGAGGGAGTGTAACCCAACCGGCATGCCAAAAAAACTTTCAACCCACAGCAAGCAAGGGTCAAAATTAAACCAGCAGTGGACTGAATGTTTTAGTCCTTGGTCCCATTTACCAGGGCTCCATTTGGGTACCTATGTTCGACCCACAGCCACATGGTTTGCAGAGACGCTTAGACTCTTAGTCTTTGAGAGTTTGGAGGGATGAATGACACATTCCACTAGATCGTTTGACTTTTCGCAAGGATCTGCGAACTGGGGCAACACGTCAATGACAACTTGGGTAGGGCACTCTGGGATAGCAGGGGAGCCCTTCTTGAAACTACTCAGCTAGTTCATCGGACGTTGCACTTGCACCCTTTGCAGGGATGTCGGATTTCCTATAGTACTTCTGAGAATGGCTCGATTATCTTTCTGCCGCCCTTAACTGCCTTTAACGGGAGTCCTTTCCGATTCGAGTTGAACTACATAACCAGCATCCAGGCAGCTTCAAGGCCTTCATGTTGCTCTTTGCAGCACCGGACAATCCTCCGCCCAAGGGGTTCAATCATCAGCTGGGTTCTTATGTTCGCTCACACCCGCACCTCACACATGGGTCCTTTCAAGACAGCATGAATCCGTGGAACCAGTTCTGGGCGACTGGCAACTTGGCCAACGGCTTCCGCGCCTTGCGACGAGGAGACCCTGGACTCCGGGTCCTTCCCGCGCTGGAGCGACTGGGCGTCTGATTGGAGCGGCTGGTTCACTCGGACGCTTCGTTTGTCCTCCCTAACATGGAAGCCCCCAAAATCCACAGAAGGTCACTTTCGGTGGAGCATTCGCAAACACGCTCTCCCGGGAACCACCACAACGGGAGCAACAACGGGACGCCACTTTTAGACTGGCCTCTGAACCGGGAGCCGCTTTTGGGATGCTCCTTTCGGTGGGTTTTCTGCCACGCGCCCTTCTTTTCTGTTTTTTGTGAGGCAGAAGAGGGGTGCTGGGCCTTGAAGTTCAAGGCCCACTTTGCCCGTGGGTCTCCTTTGCCACCGGTGGCACTGTGTCCTTGTCTTTTCCCAGGGCGCTTCGGTCTTTTTACAATTCGGAGCGTCGAAAGGAGGGCGTCCTTCCTTTTGTGCGTCGAACATGTGGTCGATAGGCAGGGAGTGAGGGAATGAACCTGACAATTCCCTGAAAGGAAACCATAGGGGATGGTTTATAGGGGTCATTCCCTCATTCCCGGCTGAGCACTCAGCACGTTGAATCATCCTTTGTAGATCTAACACTTGGCTTTTGGGCAGCTTATTCAATGAGTCGTGCGGTTCAAAGTGGGTTCAGTTGCAGCGAGCGAGCTTTTTTGGATTTGTCGGTTTTGCCCTACCAGGGTCCTTTAAGGTCAAAATGCCTTATTGGAGCAAACCTGCAGCTTGCCCCCCGAGTGGCGACAGATTGCTCGCCGGTCCCAGCCTGCAAGGCGATGCCCCCTCCCTCCTTGCCCATGAGCCATTGAGGTTGATTGGGCGTGTCAGTTTTTGGTGGCGCCTTTTTTGGGGGCGATCTCAAAGCAAGCAAAAGGACCATCAACGATGAGGGTCCTATTCTCAATAGTTTGTTCCGGATGGCGAGTCATCTCCTGGCTCAGGACGACAACTTCGCGGCGATTGGTGAGGAACAGCCTAGGAAAGGGCTAGATAATCCTTTATAAGCATCTTAGAACCAAACGCAATGGGTTTTGCGCATTGCTGAATTGTGAACAGGGACAAGCGCGATCGACACAGGCATGAGGCAGTTGTTTCCGATGTGAATCATATGAAGATGGCTCGTCTTGTTTTTCAAGGGTGCCCACAAAATGGGGGAAGCATTGAAGGGACCCCCCCAACCCCAATATTGGAGGTTTCCCTAATTTGAGACAAGCCGCGCACGGATTTTGGGCAGATTTGGCCAGCCCCCCTTCTGGCTAAATCAAGAACTTTTTCTTAGCTGCTCGCCGTTTCGGCCATTCCAAGACCAACCACTTGGACCAATGCCTGGCCTGGGGTTTCGCGTTGGGCCGCGTGTGTCTGAAGGCCCCTTCCTGGAGTCTCTTGGCGCGGACGTGGACGCCTGGCGCGCGGAGGTCCGCGCCTTCGCGCCGCGGCTCTGGGATTTGGCGGACCTGGCGCCGCCCAAACGCGGCGTGCTGCGGCTCGGGTCACAGAGGGGGGTGGGATGGGGGGCGGATTTTGGGGGGCGCCGACCCCGGCAAAACGGATCAAATGGCTCTTTTCCTTTTGGTTTCTTTTGGGGGAAACCGGCAAAATGGCTCTTTTCCTTTTGGTTTCGCTTTGAAACCCAGAAAGACGGCTCTCCCAAAAAATGAGAGACTTGCTGTGGATGGTTGTGAATCCATGTCGCACCACCTAAGAAACTCTGGTTTCGATTTTGCACTACCTAAGAAATCCTGGTTGCTGATTCGATTCCCCTGCGAATGCCAATAGCACGTTACGGTTTCAACCAGTGCGAAATGGATTTGGTCATTGCACAGCACCACTCACATGGGGCCGTCAGGTGCCATGCTAGTTGGGAGGGTAGTTTGGTTTCCCTCAAAGGAGAGTGGTTTGGGAGTCCCAAAATGTGGATGATGTGACCAGTTCCTCTACTCGGTGTTGGTAGAGGGTCATGTACCGCTTGACTGATAGGGATTTGAACCAACCCATGTCAAAGTTCGTACCCACGCAGCCGCCATGCAGTTTTGACCACGGTGCATCTAGGTGGGCCTGACCTCAGTTCAACGGTCATTTTTGCTGGGGGTTGGGACCCCCCCCGCCCGGTTATGTCACGTCTCAAGGTTCAGGGGTTCAATTCCCCCAAACCACTCAGGTGATTACGCCCAGTTTTTGCTCTGGCAGTTGCTTTTTTTTTTAGGGCCCCAACTGCTGGTTTTGTGTTGGGTTCGTTTTGCCAACACGACCACAACAGGACATTGTGGTGGACTTGTTTTTGAGGTTGAGAGAGACACCCGCTCCATTTGGGTGCGTCTGATGTAGGGGGCCCGACCCCTAAAATGAGGTTCTCGTCCTTTTGGGTCTGCCCAAACCCACCAAAAAGGCAGTCCGTGTCTCACCTGTGTTGGGACCTAGGAGAGACCTCGCGGCGTTGGCCAAGTCGGCGCCTCCCTCGGAGGATACCCACGTGTTCGTGAACGTGTTGAGGGGAACCCACGTTTTTTTGCTCCCCCTAACAGCTGAAATCTGAAGTAGTCATGGGAAGATGCCCCATAATTGTGGGTATTACAGAAAGAGTAATTTTCCACCACCATGCATGTGTGTGTGTGTGTGTGGGTGGGTGCGTGCGTGCGTGCGTGCGTGCGTGCGTACGTGCGTGCGTTTGTTTTTGTTCCCTTCATGCGGTTTTACGGTGGTTTATAAACCTGGGAACCATGGATTGACGTGTCGGAAATGTTGGTTTTATGGTTGTGGGAAATGGGTTTCGAAAAGCGTCAGGAAGCGGGTTTGTGTTCGTACCTTCAGCAAGGGGCACTCTTCAAGACAAATTTTCGTCCACTTCCTGTGATAAATGGGAATCCCACTTTGGTATCACAGATGCGTGTGTCTCAAAATAGGGGGGTCCCAGCACTGGTTATTTTCCTAGATCCTTTTCTCCTGGAGTCCACCTGCCTGGGGATGTCGGGGCCCATTTTCCACATTTGGTGGCTGATCAAAAGGTCCTTTCCACGGGATGACCATCAGCAAACCACGAAAAAAGATGACCTTCACCACATGAGCCCAGTGACCCATGGTCATTTTGGTGATCCACCCCCACATGACAGCGCGGTTTTGTGGGGGGTTTTCGGTCCTTGAGCCCGGCCGACGTCGCGTCAGGAGCCGTGCCTCCGGCTGCTGTCGCGGTGCTTGGGCTTTGCCTCCGGAGATCCGGAGGCGCTGGCGGCGTTGCTGAGCCTGGCGCAGGCAGCAGGCGGCGATGGAGTGTGGGAAGGGGTGGGGTGGGGGAGTGGGAAACGGTGTGGGTGGGGGGTGAAGAGCATCTTGTTGAGTGGAGTTGTTGTTTGCAGTGTTTTTTTCTTGCAGCATGCGACGGCTGAAGGGATTCGGTGTGGGAGTCCAGTTTCCGTTCGGTTTAGAAAGCATCCGGTGCCGTCTTTCGATTTTTTCCGAAATGGGCGGCTCGACTCGAGCGGCCGTACACACCACAAGGCCACCCCTTCAGAGAGGCCTTTTGAAGCCCCAAACATTTCTGTTTGAACCCGCAACACCTAGAAAATCAATGATACCTTTGGTCTCAGCTACACTCCCGTACAACTTGCGGGGTCCTGGAAGAAATTGCTCCTTCTTGCGGGCTCCATGTGAGTTGTTGGGAGTTTTACGTGTTTTGTTGCACCAAGCTGGGGCGGGGGGCAGAAACAAATACTGAGCCATACCCCTTTCTGGCTATTCGTCAACTATGAATTGCAATAATATGAGCAAAGCTGACAAGAATATTAGTAGTCTGTATACACAACCCCAATTCCCAAAACCAGACCCAATTCCCAAAACCAGGGGGACACCCCGAATTCTCCCATGTCCCTTTGGTCAAAGAGTATGTCCGTGGGTCATCTCACTTTGCCCAAAGAGAATCGACCTAAAACAAAAACAAACACATGTTGGTTTCCCTGATGGTTTTTCCATTTTCATTGCGGTCAAAGGTGATCGCGTCTGATTTCCAGGTCAAGAGGCTGGTGAGTCGCAAAGGCTTTAGATACCTCGAGGCTCTTCCCTCTCGAATCCGGAGGCATGCGGCCGGGAGGCGATGCGCCATGGCCCAAAGAGAAACACCCAAGCCGGCGGCGGAATCCGGCGCGTGGTGCGAGTTGTCCGGTGTCTGAGATGTCTGAGCTTTTTTTGTTTTGTGTGTTTATGAGGTGACTGTGTCAAAATAGGGACCGCCTCACCCGCATGTTTCTTGGTTTTGTTGCGTGCTCAGTGGAACCTGCAGAGAAGATGAAGCTTGTTCCCAGGGTTGGAGAGTGGAGAGTATCGTAACAGGAGTCATATGTTATGTGTTCCTTCCATGTTACCGGGTACAAGTTTGGGCTTTGCTGAACCTCCAGAAGCACATTTGATTGGACTTCAGCATTTTCGCCTCATTCCCCAGATAGCTGAAAGCTATAGGGGTTCTAACTTCTAATAAAGAGGGGGAAGTGATTTGCGAGATTGATGGGCTGGTGCTATGGGGCGTGCAGTTTGGGGTGCTGGCTTTTGCGGATTGGGGTGCTGTTTGAGGTGCTGATGGCAGTGCGGGCGCATCTTTTCAAGATTGACGGTAGGGTGCTAGGGGGCGTGCAGTTTGGGGGTGCTGGTGCAGGTGCTGTTTTGGGGGTGACGGTGCACGCGTGTTTTTGCATCTTGACGGTAGGGTGCATGCAGTTTGGGGTGCTGGTGCTGGTGGTGTTTTGGGATGCTGCTTGGGGAGCTGTTTGAGGTGCTGGTGACGGTGCGGGCGCAATTTGCGATATTGACGCCCGGGTGCTATCGGGCATGCAGGTGACGGTGCAGGCACATTCTTGCATCTTGACAGTAGGGTGCAAGGGGGCATGCAGCTTGGGGTGCTGGTGCAGATGGCGTGTTGGGATGCTGTTTGGGGTGTGGATGGGTGTTTGGGGGGATGCGGTTTGGGGTACTTTTAGGGTGACGGTGCAGGCTTATATTTGCGAGATTGACGGCAGGGTGCAGGGGGCATGCAGTTTGGGGTGCTGCTGCAGGTGCTGTTTTGGGATGCTGTTTGGGGGGTGCTAGTGATGGCGCGGGTCGATTGACGGCCGGGTGTTGTTTGGGACGCTCTTCCGGGGGTGCTGTTGGAGGTGCTGGTGTGCAATCATTGCTATCTGGGGTCTATGCTGGTGTATTTTTTTTTTTTTGGGGGGGGGTACTTCAAATAGCTGACCCGCTTTGAATTTCTTAGGTGCTGTTCTGTGCTCGTTCAGGGATTTCGGGGTGCCCTCACTTATCGGGATGAGCCCATTTTCGAAGTCAACTGAGCTTGCTTTCGGGGTGATGTTTCAGGCAGCCTGAAATGCCAGCAACCTTGCGTTTCCAAAAAGGGAAGGGCCTGGGGGGAAACATTTCCTGAACATTTGCATGGACCCATCCCAAAGAGGCCACTAAAGTGAAGGAATCTGATTTTGGGATCAGGGTTCCAAGGGTGCTTTGGGGGGGGCTTTGTTGGTCCTTGATTGTTTGCATGTGTGTTCCTTGCAAGAACTCTTGGTTGTTGCATGTCATTGTTTTGCGATTCCTTCCGATCATTCTTGGAGAAGCGGGCGAGCTTCGCGGCTACAAATGGTTACCATAAATTACCCATGGTTGAAGTATCCGTGAATCCGGATGCCTTTCGGTGCCGGAAGCATCTATGCATGGTTGTTGTTGGGAACCATTTTACATTGCTTATTGCGGCTTAGTGGGAAATCCCCACTTAACTGCCAAAACTTAATTTTTTGCTCCCCTTCCAACATCACCAAGTATGGTTCGAGGGAAAAGTTGAGGAGGGCAACGTGAGGGAAGTCCATGGCCACTTCGTTGGGATCTTTGGGCTGGGACCTGTCAGCTTCCGTCCCTCGGTCTTTCCTTTTTCGGGAGCTACGTCCCTCACATCCCCCAAACAAAAACTCGCAAGATCTCAAGGCGGCAAATTCTGGTGTTGTTGGACTGCCGCAAACTGAACAGATGTGGTATTTGAAGGGATCCAGAATGAGCAGAGAAGGATCTGAGCCCTTGTTCGATTTGGGCGTTGTTGCTCTGACCTTTTTTAACTGGCTCTACTTGGAAGTCATTGGGGAAGATAGGCCCCGCTTTGGGGACCCCATGGGATCCTCTTGTCAGCCCCTGGTTTTCAGATCCTCTTGTGACCCTTGAAAAGAGGAAACCCAAAGCACAGTTTTTTTGTTTTTACCCCAAGCGAAGCGATGAACATCGGAGCTTTTGGTTTCCTAGGTCCTTGGTGAGAAACAACTCCAAAATTGAGGTCCTCTGAGGTCTGTATCGAATGAGGTCTGACTAGGAAGTGCACAGGTGTCCGGGGATGGTCCCATTCCTTGGTGGTTTCCAGCTTCTTCAGGTTTTTAGGTTTTTAGTTGGTTTAGTGGGGGGTGTCCATTCAACCCACCAAAAGTTAAACTTTTAGTCCGGGATCTGAGGACAGCACAGCTTCCTCAACTTGTCTCATGGTATCTTCTGTCCTCCGCTTGTGAAACAGACCTCAATTGAGGGCATGCATTATATAGAGTGAGGCCCGTCCTGGGAGACCCCTTGGAGTCACTCGCCGAAGCTGTTTTCTTGCGACAAATTGAAGATATTTTTCAGGCGGATTTCTGTGGTTGGTAAGGTCCTCCAAAAGTAATCAGTCCAAAGTTGATAGGTCAAGGGACATCGTGCCAGACAGCTGCTCCCGTTGTCTAAACATCGTTGATTCTCACAAGAAACCAAGCTGTTCTTGAAACCACTCTTGCCCAAACCAATTGGACCCCTCCTGAAATGGCAAGAACGCTTCATGTCGGCTCTCTTTCAGTCACCGCGTCTTCTCGGCACCTTCGCGTCTTTTTTTCTGGTGCTCACTTGGAGGCCCCCGCTCCGCCGATCCAAGGCCCTGAGCGCGGTGCTGGCGCACCTGGACGACGCCCAGCGCCAGGCCGTGGCGAGGCGCCTCACTGCGGAGGAAGCCCAGGCGCGCGCGAGCGCGCGCGCAAGCGGAAGCGGAAGCGGAAGCTATGGCGCGGAAGGGTGGGCTTTGGTGGGTGGTTTTGCTGTCCTTGATCCGTTTTTCTTGAAGTTGTCTTTCTTTGTTTGGGTGTCGCAGCTTTGCCGCTTCGTTCGGTTTTACCAACGTGTGGGCATGTGTGGGCGTTTATGTGTTGTTCTGTTGCTGGTTTCTGAGGTTCTGTGTTGTCCTGTTTCGTGTTCTTGTTGTTTTCTGGTGTGTTGCGTATTAATGAATTTGTTGGTTGTTGCTTGCTTTTCTTGCTTTGTTTGTTTGGTGGTTTCTTCCTGTGTCTGCCTGCCTGCCGCCTGCCCGCGCCCGCCGCCCGCCCGCCCGCCCGCCCGCCCGCCCGCCGCCCGCCCGCCCGCCTACTTGCTTGCTTGCTTGCTTGTTTGCTTGTTTGCTTGTTTGCTTGTTTGCTTGTTTGCTTGTTTGCTTGTTTGCTTGTTTGCTTGTTTGCTTGTTTGCTTGTTTGCTTGTTTGCTTGTTTGCTTGTTTGCTTGTTTGCTTATTAGCTTGTTTGCTTGTTTGCTTGTTTGCTTGTTTGCGTGTTTGCGTGTTTGCGTGTTTGCCTGTCTTGATTGGTTTGCTTGTTTCTTGCTTTCTTGTGGTTTCGTTTTGCTCGCTTGCTTGCTTGCCTGCCTTGCTTGTTTCTTGCCTTGCTTGCTTGCCTGTTTGCTTGCTTGTTTGTTTGTTTGCTTGCTTGTTTGTTGTCAGTTTTGGTGTGCTTATTTGTTTGGTGTATGCTTGCTTTCTAGTTCGTGGCGTTCCTTGTGGTCGTTTGTTTTTGGAGTTTCGTTTTTCTTCATATGTTTGCGCCATGTTGCCTAGAGATGTCAAGCGTGAGTTCGTGCCGAACACGGTTCACGGTGCCAACGTCACACCCAAGGACCAAAGCCACCTATTCTTTCACGTGCCTCAGGTGCCACAGGGAAGGAAATACATGTTCGCAACATCTCAAGCCGACGGCTGACTATCGTGCGATCAACTCATTCAATGCCCCTTTCATAAACAACTAACTCAGGTGATGTACCCTTCCCTCTAGGCGTGAACAAGTTGCCAAGCCCGCGATGAATTGTTGAGAGCTCAGTTGGCATTGAGGTTGGGTTGAGTCGGTGAAGCAAGAGGAGCCCTCCTACCTGAACAGAAAGAAGCGAAGAAGGGGGTTGTCTTCATGAATATTTTATGTATTTTGCGTCAGAGGGGTCTCCCCAATTTTACGAAGCACTCAAGGGAGCGCTGACTATCTGGAGATGTGCAGCATAGCTGCGAGTTTTCCCTCAGCCCTTGCCCTCAAGTCGTTTGCTCCAAAAGCGCCATGCATACAGCGGTGCCGCTTTCACCCTTCAAATGGGCGTGCCAAAAAAAGTGGGCCTCGATGTGGGTTTTCTCGGCGATCGCTTTCTGCCGATGTCCTGTTTCTGCTCGCCTCTCAGTCCTCGGGTCCCTCAAAGTGGGAGACACATCTTGAGGGATTCTCAATTGAACATATGGGTGTGGTTTTGGTCTTTGTTTCTATTCAAGAGGCCAGACAATGGGTGCCACTTTTTTGAGCCACAGCCATATTTTGTTTCTGGGGTCTTACCCCTTGAACTTTACCCCCATCTGGCCGATGTCAGGATGCCAAGATGGGTGTGCATGTCCTTTTTTCGGGGGCCCGCCAACATGCCAAAGGCTTCCTGGAAAGAACGCCACAACAAGAAGGTATCATCTTCAAGCCAACGAGCTTGCCATGTGCCTAGTTTCTGTTTCCAGGCCTGGGCCCCCGCGCTTCGCGAGGCGGGCAGGTGACACCACGGGGTTCATGCGGTTTGGTACCCCGGGTTGGGACCGGGTCCATGGCCTTGGGTTGGCATGGGAGCCAAAAAAAGGAACACCCGAAGCCCGTTTTGCATGTTTGGGGAGTTGAAAGCCCTAGTTCGACATAGGCCACTCGCAGCATGGCCATTTGGGAATGGTTACAGGCACTGGTCGGCTGCACCGCGAAGATGTTGATCGGCGGCCGGATCGGCATCGGCTGCGGTACAACTTGCCAACCATGTTTGCGTGGGCTTGTCTTGAAATAGCAAGCTCGTTTGAGGGATGTGTTGAGGGGTTGCTTTGAAGAGAAACCAGCAGGACATCATTGAGAAGCCGCTGAACATACCCAAGCAGGAACAAGTGGAACACTCAGGGATCTACCGTGCTTCAGGTAGCTTTTGCTTCGAAGCCCTCCGAACGGAGGTTCCCGAATTCGGGACGAAGCCATCTTGTGGACCACATGTCGATTCAAGGTCCACACAACTTGGGGCGGACTCAAACCAATGTTTCGTTGGGCGAGCCGGGTGCAGGGGGGAGGCTGAGGTATGTGAGCAGATGGCGCACGAAGCCCCACTCGCGGGACGGCCAACTGTACCTGGTTGGGTATGACTGATTGTTGCTCGCTATGGATTTGGGTGATGTGTACCAAACTGGGGACCACACATGGATAAACTGATGCAGCCTGGCTGGTGATGTGGCCAAAAAGAAAACATGGGGACCACAAATGGATAAAGGATATATAGTGGATAGTACCCGGATTCGCAACCTTTTCACCAGGAATGGATACACGCGGTGGTTCCTGCTTTTTCGCTTCAGGCCGACCCCACCATTATTATTTTTTTTTCGGCGGCGCGAGCTCTCTCCAGGCGCCGCCTGAGCCGCCCTCCGCGCCGAGGGCCATCGCTGAGCCGCAGAGACAGGCGCGGGGTCGTTGAGTTGGCTAAAGCTCTGGTTGATTTTGATCGGGGGCTGTCCCCTTTACTGTTGGGATTCGGACCACTGGTTGCCGTGGACGCCCCCCCAAAAAAAACGGCACGGTTTTTTTTTCTGGGTCAAGATTAGGGGACTTGAGAGGGGTTCAAGCAAGCTCAGTCCCCGAGTTCGGGGACTTGATGCTTTTTAGGGGTTGGACTTTTTTTTGTGAAGGAACAAAGAGTTCGGATTGTTTTTGGTCAATCCACTCAGGAAGTGAGAGGGGTTCCGATCTCTTGTACCCAAAGGAAATCATGTGAGTAGCATCCTAAAAGCGCCGATTTGTTAGAACCCATTTGGGATCACCCGGTTGATACCCTGTAGGGAGACTTGGGTGCTAGAGTCTCCCTGGTGTGGGTTGAAGAATGAATGTGAGAAAGTGCAGACAAATTCTTGGATAGTTGCGCGAACTTGACACGAGTTGTTTTTCAACTTGAATGTGCTTGTCGTCACATGCAGGGAGTGTGGTAGAGGGGGCTGCACAAACGCGAGTTGATGTCGGAGTTGGCATGCGTTGATCCGTTCAGGGCTTTGGCTCAAGCAAAACGACTGAACACCGAGGAAAACGGATGAAACCCGGACACAGCCACCAGCGACCCAGCACTTTACCTCATCCAACAATGGCGAACACGGGCAAAAGCAACAGCCGCAGGGCGCCCTTCCTGCCATCGCCTGGCCAAACTTTCGCACGCCAAGTTGGGGCCCGCAACTTTTTCAGAGTTGAATCGCCTGGGATCCCGCATGAAGTGCTTGGCGCTGTTGGCGTCCGGGCTCACGGCAGAAGCGGGAGGCAAGTGGTGCAGCTTCGTCAACGAGCCGCGGATCCCCTACTTCTGGGATGAGAGTTGCCTGGTGGAGCGGCCCGGTCGGACAATTCCTAAGAGATTTTGTACACGCACACCCCGGGCGGGTTTTCTTGTTTCTTCCTTTGTCCTTTTTTTGGTCTACATGGCACATTGTGGCCGGGGTGCAAAGATATACATGTGTATGGATGGCTCGTCCTTCTATTGAGGCTGGGTACCCTTTTTAGGATTGTCTTTTGCGGGAAACAAAAGGGAACCCCACTCATTTTTAGGGGACCGACTCCTATTTTGAGAAACCTGCAAAACGGGGATTACCACAAACCAGGGTTGTGGGATCAAGGGGTTTATCCCCACTTCTGTGATACAAGGGAATCCCCTCTTTAAATGGCGGGGTAGTCTTTGGGGGACCTTTTTGTTGTATCACAGAAGTGGTCATTTCCCGCAGCCCTGCCACCCCAATTCAACCAGGAGCCACCCACGGTGTGTGAGCTGGGAGGTAGGCAAGATGCACGCAGGGAATGGTTCAGGCTGGTCTCGTTTTAGTTTTGTTCGTCACAAGGGAGTTTCGACACTCATGCTGGGATCCTTTGGGTGTTCCCAAAGAACCCAACAAAAGCAGCACCAGCTCCGAAGTTTTTCTCGGTGGGTCACGTTGCTCGAGATCTTTGGGCTGCTGGGCCGACGGCATCCACCCGCAGTGCCGCTTCTGCGGCAGCGCGCCCTACCTCACCGTGCCCTGCCCAGACGACGCCAAGGCGCGAACAAGCGTTCGCGCCCGTTGGCGCGGGGGAAGGCGGTCGTTTCGGGTTGGGGCCAAGGCAGTGATCCCATTTGACTGGTGTTGCAGGCAACCAAGGGCTCGCCACCCTTTAAAAGGAAGAAGCACATTGCCCTTCTATAGCGGTAACTTGGATCCACTGGCGTGCCTTGCGTGCTTAGACACTCCCGAAATTTGTGTCCCCACCACCCAAAAAGAAGAAACGAACAGCCCCAAAGATGCAGGACCCCCCTGAGTTTGCTAAGTCCAAAGAGCTCTCACTTCCCAAGTTTCTGGACATGCTTTTCGTAAGGCCATGCTTGTGCCGTTCTGGATCGGAAAGTGAGTCTATGGGGTGTAGTCCCTTTTGGTTTTTTGAGCTTTTTCAGCCCCTAACTCACGCCACTGGTTTCAGGCTTTGAGGTTTCCTTCCTAATTCACATGAAACCCAAACGAAGACCCCTCAGGAGATCTTTTCACCAGGATAGGCGTTGTTGGGTCCATCGGCTAAAGTATAGCTCCCTTGCAAGCCTAGAAGGTGCCGCCTGAAGATCCCAGACTCGTGTCTTTGATTTCGACCACCCCCCCCATCCCCCAATATTAATTGGTGGCGTGGGCCTTTTTCTTGGTTTGCTTCTGGGGAAACCAGAAGAACACCCAAATGCACACCAAGAAAACCAAGAAAAAGGGTACCCCCACCCCCCGAATCTTGGTTCTTCTTTTTTTGGGGGGGATACACCCAAATGCAGGGATTGGGCGTTGTCTTGCTTAGCCTTGCAGGTGCCCGACTACCGGGTCTGCGACTTCGAGAATGAGCCGCTGACGCCCTACTACTGGGAGCCGAGGTGGGCCTCAAACTTCCGCCTTGGATTTCTTTTTCAGAATGGGGACCCCACTCACCTGGCGGTTTTTCTTTTGGTTTTTATTTAAAGCAAACCCCACAAGAGAGGATGCTACAAAACACGAACACACGCGCCCACATCCATATGGCGAGTGATTCCACCGACTTGGGGGTAGAGCCAGCGATAGTCGTCTAAGTCTGAGCTCCCTTGACTGGTCCTGGAATTCGTGTAAAGCTTGCAGAGCATGCTGAAACCAGGCGCTGGATTCGGCCGGGGGAATCCACAGGAGGTTGTTTTGAACAGTTGTCAGACCAATGGTTGCAAACTGTGGGCGTGCAAGGCACCCAACCCTGGCCAGGTGCGACCAGGGATTGAAGGGCTGCAAGGCAGACGGAAAGAGTCTTGGATGTTCGGTCCAAAAGCGAGCTATTCCGTTTCCTAGCTTTCCCCATGTGTGGGCCGCCATTTTGAGTCAAGGTCCCGAAGTGAATCTTCGTACATTCCGGGTTCTTGCAGGTGAAGGGCTTCCTTTTGGGCCGATGGTGACATTCGCCGCCTTTCAAGGGGGGGCCCAAGACATGATGTGCATGAGCGCCGCTGTCTAGTTTTGGGAAGGGGATAACATTGGGAACGGTCGGCACATTTCGACATCATTCAGGTGGGAATTCATGTCTACTAACCACGTTTGACGTGGTTCCTCATGAAAACTCATAGCCATAGCCACACATACATGTATATGTATTTATATATATATATAATATACAATATGCATATGTCTTTACATAGATATCCTATTGTGGCTTTCAACATCACCTTTTGGGCCCTCATGTCGGGAATGAACCCTTGCTGCTCGAACCTCTGACAGAACTACTGTGAATAGACAAAACCCTGCACCAGCTGGTAGCTAGCCCAGTACTCAGGGTTTCATCCGTCCCAATTAATTTCAAGATTTCGTCCATCCTTTGTAGCGTATGGCTGGTTTGGGCGAGAAGGGGCCCGCCCCAATTTCCCACCAACCAAAACCTGGGACAGCAAGGAGCGCGAAGGGAAGCCAATGAAAACAATGGAAAACCACAAAAAGCCAAGGGAAAGCCAAGAGCGAGCCGAGGACTCAGGAGTGCCGATTCTGCGGCGAAGGGGACTTCGCGGAGATTTTGTGCCCGGAGGGCGGCTGCAGCTTTGTCAACGAGCCGAGCACGCCCTACTTTTGGGCGCCTGGGATTTGGAGTTCGGATTAAGCCAAGCCAAGCCCAACCAAACCTAAAGCCACTCAAAAATGGCAGGTTTCAAGCAAACACGTGAAACCCAAACCCAACCTGACACCAAACATGATGGAGATAAGAAAGACCGGGGGAAAAAACAACAACGTGCATTTGCGTCTTTACGAGGGCGCAAGCAAGTCAAAAAACCGCCATTACTGGGAGCCTTGGCTGAATCTGACCGAAGGCATTCTGCATGGCCGCATTGGCGGATGGAAGTTCCAGTCCCCAAGAACATCTTTGGGTTTCATTTGGTGAGAGCTTCATTTGCCAGGGGCCCAAATCAATTCGCCAAACACTGGGCGATTTGACAAAGTTGCAAAGCGATGGATAAGGATTGGCCAACCCATGTTGCAAAGACCCGGGAGGATGTTCGCTACCAAAACGGAGGGACCCAAGAATTCAAGGCCTGCAACTCCTAAGAGGAAATGGTTTGGATGCATGCTATTAAAGAACCAGGACCGGAGTACATAGAAATCTGGGTGGTTTGGATGCTTGAGGGGACCCAGGCTCCCCTAGGCCATAGCATGACGGCTACATTTCCCTTCGAGCCAGTTCCAACCTCACCGCTCAAGCATCACCTGTGTTTTGCCTGCTATGCGGGTGTCTGAAATCGCCGTGCACGAAAACGGATTGGTTTCCTCGTGGTTGCGCATTGACTGCCATCCAAAACGGGGATCACCGTTTTCAGAGTTTTCAGAACCCCACATACATGGCCAGGGGCCGAACTCCCGGGGTGCCACCGTACATGTCACCACGTTTAAACTTGTTGGGTGGTTCATGTCCAAAGCTAGACGTAAGCTTCTGGCTGGTTCATGTCGTTTTCCTTTGAAAACCGAAGTCTCTCATGTAGGACACCACCTGCGAGATCGGGAAGTTGGGCTGCAACGCGGACGGGGTGCACGTGCACTGCCGCTTCTGCGACGTCTTTCCCTTCCGGCCCGTCGGCTGCCCTCCGGAGGTGCGGCCCGAGTATCCCGGCGAGCGGCTCGCCATTTGGATGGGGCGCGCATTTGTTTGTGGGGGGGAGGTGGACCCCAGAGGATAGATGCGTTTGCCATGAGGCCATAGAGTCATACCCTATGCCTCCATGAGGCGGAACAACCACGTACCACCTATTTTGATGTTCACCAGGGGTATATACAGGGTTTTGACAACCACAGCCATGAAAGAAACGGGGTTTGAACAAGTCATGCCAAACCGCAGGTCGGAGGGAGTATGTCAGGGGGCACCCATGGGCGCAACAAGGCATTGCCAGACCCGGCTTAAGCAAAGCTGTACGATTCGTTTGTTTCCTGGGTGCACACACATATGTGTATATTTTTTTCTATATGTATTGTTGTGGTGTTGGCCTAGCCGCCTTCTGGGCCAATTTCAGCTCAGTTTGGGAAGTTTTGGCCTCGCTCTCAGGTGTTGGTTCCCTCAGGGCACAGCGCAGACGTACTACTGGGAGCGGACGTGCCACTTGGGAGACAGCAAGTTAGGCTTTATGTTTGAGTGTAGAGGGGTTAATGAGATACCCCAATCAAATTCTTCGGATTTGTTGGGGAGTTTGGGCCGATTCATAACTTATCCACATCAAAAGTGTAGGTATCTTTTGGCTAGTAGACCGATTCATGACACATCATCCCCCACCACTACATTCATCTTGGCTCGGGATCAGCGCGCCAAGGCCAGGTAGGAATCTTGGGCTGCCTGGCTGACGGTCTCCATGAGCAATGCCGCTATTGCGGCCCTGGCTCCGAAGGGGCGTACGAGAGCATCCCGTGCCCCACGCTGCTTCCCTGAGTCACGGGCGGGCGTTTTTCAAACTGGAGTTGGTGCCCCACTTGTTGGAGTTGGTGCCCCTTTTTTGGGGTTTGTTTCAAGGGCAGCCAGATGGAAACCTCCCATTTTTAGAGGGGGTGCACCGTTCTGAGAAGCGCCCATGTCGTGTCCACCTGAGGGTTTGGTGGAGGTGAACTGGGGAAGCAAACTTGGATTCTCACTTGGGTGTCCTGAAAAACCATTTTGTTCTCAAAGGGACCTTCTGGTTGGTTTCCATGTTAGTGGTTGGGAGTTTCATGGCGTGTCTCCCGTGTACTTTTAGACCAAGCTCCTTTCTGAACCATACCCCTTTCTGACTTTTCACGAACCACATAGAAGGCAGGGGTATACCCTCAGTGCGTGTCGACAGCCCTTGTCAGCTGTACAGCGAGTGAATTCACTTGATACAGAGGCTTGCAACCATAATTCGTGCTTGGACAATTGGTTGCCCCGGACACAGGTCCGTTTCAATTCGACGGATGGATTCGGAGCGTGGCGAAGCGGGGCAATGGGCCTCCATGCTCTCGGCTTCTCCAGTCGCGTACAGATGCAAGAGATGCCTTGCTGGGGAACTCAAGAATGCAGCGAAAGAGGCAGGGATTGGGGGTACGAGAGACGGGATCCCAAGGGAATGCCTGGCGTTCCTATCCTTTTCGGCGAAGTTTGTCTTCTTTCTCCGCCCATCATACGTATAATTATCTAATATATAAATAGATCTATTTAGACATCAAACATACATACATACATATATATATATGTACACATATGGGTATAGATACTACATATGCGGGGGGGGGGGGGCAAAAATAAAGAGAAGCCCAAGCCCCTGCTTTGCAGGCAATTCCGGGCTTTTCTTCCTTCAGTTGAGGACCTTCGGGCGTTGCTGGCAGAGGCGCCGGCGCACTTCTGCTGCCAGCTGGACGGGCGTTTGCCTCTCGCCGCGTCGAGCGTCGAGTGGCTGGCTGGTTCTCACGCCAAGAGCCGCATGCAAAACCCCGTTGGCTTTTGCTTCTACCAACGTTACACGGTTACAAGGTGTTTTTTGTGTTTTTTTTAACTTCTTTTTAGTTGCCTCGTATTGCAAACCCCATTGGCTTTTGCTACCAGCATTATAAAAAAGGGTTTATATAGCCCTATGAAACCCACCTCAGTGGTGTTTCCATGTACAGGAGTCTCCTGAGCATTCATGATGTTTATCAATTCTGGGCGGGGGCATGGACACTCAGAGTGGATTTGGCCGCCAAGAACCCTTAACTCACTTCCAGGGTGCCTGCGGCAACCCAAAAAGTTCAACTCTAGCTCCAGCATGGACTAAAACCTGGTAGTTCCATCTCCTTATTTTTTTAGCAAGGCCCAAAGCTTGTTGGTCCTCGGGGAATGACCTTCCAGGTGTTGGCAATGAACCGGGGATTCCCTGAAAGGAACCGTCCTGGTGGTTCCATTTTGACCCATGCCCAAGGCTGGTGGACCCGGTCCGCACGCCCTGGGGCCACCTCTGCGAGCGCTCGGTGCTCGCCAAAGCTCTGGAGGGAGGCGCGGGAAGCCGAGGATCCCGTTGGTGGTTTTGTAACGTGGCCGTGGGTCAACACCAATGGGATCCCATTTTGGTTGGTAGGTGAATTCACCACCCATTTTGGAACCTATTTTAATGGGGATTGGGATGTTCACTGGGGGGAAGGGGTTTTGACCCATAGCCAAGCGACCCCCCAAACCACCAATTAGAGGGAAGCTGAAAAAGAAGGGGAAGTGGAGTGGGGGCAGGGGTGGGCAGAGGTTCGACGTTTTCCAGTTGGGTGAAAGTAGATGCGATTCCCCCATGTTGAAAAGGAATCGTGTCATCCACTGTTACCGTGGTGTAAGGTGCCAGTTGTTTTCTTCCGGTGATCCGTGCAACTCTGCATGTTGCCTAAAAGGGCGACCAGCTTTGGGATTGGGTTCCTTCTCAGGGTCCCGGAGGCCTAAAAGAGGAGGATGGAGAATTGGCTCAATGGTCATGAGTCATCATCATCATCATCATCATCATCATCAAGTCATCATCAAGTCATCATCGAGTCATCATCGAGTCATCATCAAGTCATCATCCTCATCCTCATCATCATCATCATCATCATCATCCTCATCATCATCATCATCATCATCCTCATCATCATCATCATCCTCATCATCCTCATCATCATCATCATCATCATCCTCATCATCATCATCCTCATCATTCATCCTCCTCATCATCATCATCATCATCCTCATCATCATCCTCATCATCATCATCCTCATCCTCATCATCATCATCATCATCCTCATCCTCTCAGCATCATCATCATCCTCATCATCATCATCATCATCATCATCATCCTCATCATCATCATCATCCTCATCCTCATCATCATCATCATCATCATCATCATCATCCTCATCATCATCATCATCCTCATCATCATCATCATCATCCTCATCCTCATCATCATCATCATCCTCATCATCATCATCATCCTCATCCTCATCATCATCATCATCCTCATCATCATCATCATCCTCATCATCCTCATCATCATCATCATCCTCATCATCATCCTCATCATCCTCATCATCATCATCATCCTCATCATCATCATCATCCTCATCATCATCCTCATCATCATCATCATCATCATCATCATCATCATCATCATCATCATCCTCATCATCATCATCATCCTCATCATCATTATCATCATCCTCATCATCATCATCATCATCATCACCGGATCGTAATCTTCCCTCTAAATGTTTGGACCCAATTTGGATCAGAAGCCAGGCAGCTGCCCCTTTACCGGCGCGCCGCTGCAGCTGGCTGAGTGCCAGTGCCTCTACCTGAAGGGGAGCGTGCAGTGGGTTGGAACGTGGGCAACCAGACACGGGTATGGGTCAAAACCAATGGGATCCCATGTTGGTTGGTAGGTGAATTCACCACCCATTTTAGTCTAAGTTTTGGTGGGGATTGGGATGTTTATTGGGGGGAAAGGGTGTTGACCCATGGCCACACGGCGGGCTTTTTGTTTGATGCCCAAATGGTTGGACAGAAATCCGGTGCCGAAACTCAACGAGCCCGGAATCTTTCAGAAGAAGGATGATGCCCACATTTGGGCTTGCGCATTTTTTTTCTTCTTTAAGTTTATTCGTAAGTTGGTTCCCCTTATAAGCAGGACCCAATACGCACACCAGCCAATTAAACCGAACTTACACGGTGAAAGTGCATGGCACACGTCCCTTGTGGTAAGAGGATGACTAAACAAGAATTGGGGATGTGTGGCATCTAGTTTCACCCAACTGTACCTGAACAACAGTCAGGCTATGATTTTGATAGGGACATAAGCGGGTCAGCAAGCATGGAAATCGCTCCAATGGTGGACGTCCGGGCACTGAACCCGGATTGTCCATAGCCACGGCTATGATGCGATAGCACCGATTTGCTTTGGGGCAACTTGACTCTAAAAAGCCCAACCCTAAAAAAACCAACCCCCCAACTCCCAAACCCCAACCCAAACTTGAATCCAAACTCCAAAAACCCTACGAACCGCCACAGGCTTGGAGTCTCCAGATATTCAGGGCAATCCCCGCCTCGAATTGCAAGACTCAGGTCTCAAATCTTTGGAGATTGCGCCGATTTCGCCAAGGGGGGTCGTAGCCGATTCCAGGAAGGCTCGATGTTCTGTTCCGAGGTTCTATGCATCCCGCAAATAGAACATTTGACCCGCTTGGCCTGTTCCTGTTTTGTGCTCTTTGCTAGTGGAGAATCAGCCAAAGCCCAGTAGTTTTTGGGAGATCAAGGTGCTGTTGGAGATACGAGCTAACTTCGCGTTTCGCGCCTTAGCCGGGTGAAAGCGCCGAAACCAGGCTTCATGGGCGTGTTTGTTCTTTTTCCGGTGCCATTTGTTGGACTTCTTTCAAGGTGATGCTCTCTTTTTTTTTTCTTCGGGAGTCAGCCTGGACCTTCGAAGTACACCTAAACATTGGACATTTTCCAATGATGTTGGCGTAATTGCCGCGTGATGTTGGGGTAATTGCCATGTTTTTGAGGATCATGCTGGGGTACTTGCCAACATTTGGAGCGGATTTGGGGTAGTTGCCGATTTGCACGGGGTAGTTTGAGGGCGCAGGGTGTGGGCAACTTGTTCTGATCTGAGGCGCGACGCTGATCTCCGGAAGCAGATCCGGGAATGGGTCCGAAGCCGGCCCGGCGAGAAAAGGGCGCTCAAAATAGAGAGCCCCGTCTTTGGGTGGTTTTAAGTGGGGAATTCTCATATTCTATATGTTTCGATTCTAGCTGGGGTCTCGGAAAATAGGTTCTGTTCTCAGGTTGATCAAATAGAACACATCGGACAAGATTATTTTCCGTGTACCCAGCGGGCCAAGTTAAAGGGAAGCTAGGAAATCGACCACCTGAATGGGGCCCCTATTTTGAGACGGCGAAAAGGGGACACATCGCTGGAATCTGTGACCCCAAAAGGTCCTTGCACCTTTTGGAAACAAATGGCTTTTCCATTGAGCCTGAAAGATGACTGACCTTTTCCTCAGCGGGAAGGAGCAACCCATTTTTTTAGGCTGGTTGAAAGGGGAACCAAGAGTAAAGCCGCCATTTTGGGCGTCCAAGCCCCTATTTTGACGCATACCCAATTCACCTTGTGCCTTTTGGCCCGGTTGGCAATCTACTCCCCAGGTGAACAAGGACACCAACAAGCCGAGAGCATTCCGGATTTGGGTTTTGTCGGGAACGGCAGGCTACCTGGAATACGAATAAGCCAACAAATTTAGAGAATTCGTGGATCGAATCCCGGTTCCTTCCGCTTCGGCCTTCAAGGAAGCGGCGGAGTTGGCCTGCAGACGGGAAGATTCGGCAGGGGGCCAAGGCCAAGGCAGGTGTTGGGCTGGGAGTTTTCACGTGGTACTTCTTGGACCATTTGGGGGGGGGGGGCAAACACAAAGTTCGAACTTGCTTTGGCCAATCCCCTCAGGACGTGAGTTAAGAGGGGACACACCTCAAAACTGGTTGGTGGACAGGAATGCCCACCAATTTTGATGTGCACCAAAGCGCCCCCAACTAAAAATAATGCCCATTTTATTTGTTGCCGCTTTCGTTCATTGTTGCCGCCAATTGACTGAGAAACAATACCCGGTTCTGGCAACATGCTGGCGATTTGGCTTGCGGGCTTGCCAATATTTCCTCAAGCATCACCACACCAAAAAGATGCTCACCGAACGTGGCCCCAAAAGGTGATGCTTAAGAGAAACATGGGGAGCCCTGCGGGTTTTCTTGTTAGCAAGGCAATTACTTTCAGGCATTTGAATGAACATAGGGGAACCCAAGCGAAGTCGGGTAGTTGAAGGGTAGGTGCACTCGGCTGCTCTTTGGCTGTTTCTGCCCATTTTCAGTGACATGCAGTCTTCTCGGTTTTTCCACCAGGTTTGGACACCGCCCCCCCGTCCCCCCAACAACAAGCCAAGCGTTTTTCCGCCAGTTTTGGACACCCCCGCCGAGCAAAAGCGTGGAAGAACCAACGGAGCCCCTCTCTTCGCTCGAGGTACGCTGCGTGCGCGGCGAGCCCAAGACGGCGCTGCAGAAGTACGTCATTGTGCGCCTTCCTCAGCTCGGGACCGGTGATGCGGATGCGTTGGCAAGGAGCTGTTGGTTGGTGCTTGAGCCTTCGTCTGGCGTCTATCTTCCTCCTTTTTGGGTTGGGGGAGGGTGTCTTTTTTTGGGGGGGGGGTGCTTTGCATTGTTGTTTCTTTGAAAGAACATCGTGGTATATGTTCACAACACTTTCAAACAACTCATCTAGAATGCCCTTGACTCCTGCAATCTTGGCAGAGCTTCCCTTTGGCAGGTTCAAAGTGGAAGACGACCTTGAAATACTTGGCAGAAAGACAGAACAACCCCCTGAACAGGGTTCTTTTCTGATTCCTTTGAACACAGCTGTTTTGCTGGGGCGCTGAGTTTCAGTTTGCTTCCAATTATCTACCGCTGCCATTCCTACCTGTGGTTGGCGTCCCCCCCCTGTCCCCTCTCCCCGCCCGTGTCCCGGTCGCCAGGAGCTTCCGGCGCGTCAATTCTGGCATGGCTGTAGGGTTGCCTTTTGGTTTTCGGGGCTGGTTGAGGGGAAGCTGGTGGTTCCTGCAACCTCTAAGGAGATTGGGGCTCACACCCCAGAGAGGTTCTCAGAGCTTCCCAAGGACCCCTTCTAAGAAGCTTCTATTTTCCTTTCCAGGGTAGGCCGAGACCAGACTTTCAGATCCACGAGTCGTTTTTCTTCGTCTGCAATCAACACTTCTTTTTTTTCCCGACCGGTCAGCCTGGGAAGGGGAGGCTATAGCTCCTTTCGCATACAAGCCCGACACCCGAAATCCCCAAAGGTCGGACTAGCGTAAACCTGCGCTGAAATTTCGGGGTGCCGCAGCTCTAAACCAGTTTCAAAGCTTGAGTGGGACTTTTTTCCGTTTGAAGAAAATTGGTTCGGGCGTTCTTTTTTTCTCGCCGGTGAAAAGCCACCGGTTTGTTGAAAGGTTCGGACGTCTCTTCGTTCCAAGCCGCTGGGGGAAGCTTCCGAGACCTTGGCTCGTTGCTCCCGGATTCTCTGGGCCGCAGGCTCACCTTGGCGTCCCTGGGCGCGGGGGCCCGGAGCTTGCGCGGTGGGATTCCGGGGGCCGGGGGAGCACAGGGAGAGCCTCTTGTTTTTTTTCTGGGTGCGCGCAAGTGGGCGGTGAATTTTTCATGAGACTTGGGAACAGGTTGTCCCGTTTTCAGTTTCTCAGGATGGCGTTCCCGTTTTCGATTGCTAAGGGAACAGATGCATCACTCAGAGGAAAGCAACATGGCCCGGAATATTCTGGGCCCCCCAATTTTGGGCAGGTTACGTGTTGTGGCGAGTGAAGTCGCCCTTCAGATCAATCTCCATAAGAGTTTTGCCCCATGTTCGTGTTTTTTTGGGGTGGGGGGTTGTTGTCTAAAGCTTTTTGGGGGCCATTTTGCAGCATCTTGGGATTCAATCCCTAAGCCGCCAGACCGAATCACCTCTCGTGACTGTTGCCCCGTGTTCAGCCAAAAACGAGGCCCATACTTGGGCGTTCAAGCTACTTTGTAAGCAGGTTATCTGTATGGATATCAAGGAACTAACGCCTGTTACCCCAATTAGAGCCATGGGCATCACCTACTGACCTGACGTTGGTGGATCACCCAAGTCTGGTTTGCGCCCGTTGACCTAGGCTGCGACACCTTCTGGTTCGACTTTGACTCGGTGTGGCTCAAGAACCCTGTGCCTGCGCTCAAGCGGGCGGAGGCTGGGCGAGTGAGTGGGTGACGGCGGCCGCCCCATGAAGCGCCTCAAATCGGGCACCTCTCAAAACGAACGACGGCCGGGTAGGCCCACCACCAACTTCCAAACCAGAGAGAAAGAGAGGAGAGACGCAGGGCAAGGCAGAGCCTGGAGGTGGCATTTTGGAGCAGAAGAAAGGATGCCCAGCAAATGCAGAGAAAATGGCTTATTCTCGGAGTGCTGGGATAGACAAAGGACGGCAATGAGATGCTAAACCCTTTGTTGTTGTTTGGTTTTGATATTGCTTGGGCTATCCAAGTCATTATTTCTGCGACTAGTATTTGCTCAGTTTTAACAGGGGCAACGCACTTGTCCGGTGTGTGACTGACACACACCCGGGTTGGGAAGCGAACATCCAGTATGCGAACCCGCATGGTTTAATGGACAAGATGAGACAGAGGTACTTGGACGTTCGGCCAAGCTAGTAACTGGTTAGCCACTTAGGTTACAACCTTCCAAGGTTAAGCTTACACAGGGGGACATATAAGCGGGTTATAACCTAGGTTACCAACAACTTAACCTGGCCGAACGCCCGAGTACTCTTGCTCATTTTTTTTTACAGCTACACCAAGGGCACACCACTCATTTTCGGGTTCCATATGAAAGTATGTTTGGAAACCTGCACAGCAGGCTTGTTTGTAAAGTTGGTCGACTCAAGACCTAGCGTCTAGAGACGACTACATAAAACACCTCCATACACGCTGCACATTCCAAGATTGTGTGGCTTTCTCTTGGATACCAGCCCAGAAGACCCATCCATGTCCACCATAGGTTCCTCTGCTGTGCGTGAACCCCCCTTCGGGTTTTCCCCTTTGACCCGTGGCCGATGCCGCGTACCTCGAGGCGGCCGAGGCGGCGCGCGCCGTGCAGGAGAAGAGGCGAGGTCACAAAGCAGGGGGCACTTAAAGGAGGCTATGAGGGATGTAGGGATGGGGGGAACCAGCAATCTACCATGGGCAAAGAGTGCTTGAAGAGGAAAATTTGGACAACCAGGTTTGACAATGACATCTTGTTGCGCCTTTTGGGTGTAACCTCAGGATACGAAACCAGTACCCTTAGTGCTTCTCTTATCCATTCCGCATTCCCTTGAGGGATCCTTTGACTTTGCATCTCGCCTTTTCGGATAGTTTGATTGTAAGTGCGTCACCGAATTCCCCGTCTTCTTTTGATGAGTTTTAAGCATCACGTGTTGGAAGGGCCGATTGAGAGTGAGTTTCCTTCGGTGGGCGAGATGTAAATGGGAAACATAGGGAACCCTTCGTGTCATTGGGGCTGAAGCCAATGGAAGGGCCATGGCGCAAGTAGAAAGGAAGGTCCACAAGTGTCAAGGGAAAGTACCCGGGCCTCCTCCATTTAAAAGCGCAACAACACACACACACACACACCACATATTTTAGGGTAGACCAAAAGGAGACACAATGTCTTGTTAACAGTGTGGATTATACTCTGTTGGAAGTTCCGGAAACACTGCTGTTCAAGCATCAAGTTAGCCAACTGTTTCCCTGAGAGACTTCACTAATAGGAACTGTCCAGGGCATTCTGTCAAGTATCCCTGACGATGCATCCCCTAATGCCTATCGCCAAATATCGGCGGTACGGTGCCCAAGGGGGACAGCACTTGGCCCAGGGTTTCTCTCATGCACCGGGTTTTGTTTGGGTTTCCTTACAAACGGTAGAGGGTTGCCGGGAACCGCCCCTGAACACCTATAGAAGCAACAGCCCATAGAAGCCTTAAAGCATGTTAGAACCCAACCTCAGGTTTTTCTTGGCCGGGAAGCTGACCTGAGACAAATCGGCTCGCAGGGCTGAGGCGCTGCTTTTGTCGGCCATTGACTTCGACTCCAAGAACTGCGCCATGAACGCCTTCTTCCTGCTGCGCCCGCCCGAAGCCCAGGGCCCAGAGGCCGCCGCGTCCGGGCTCCTCCGGGGCTTGCGGGGCTTCCTGGACTTGAGTGACTCCTTGGGGGGTGGGACCATTTTTGTGAACAAACAGCTTGGGCTTTGGGCAAGCACGCACGAAGCAAGAAACAGGGGGTTTGGTTTGGCCCTATATCTCTTGCAACAGGCCAATTTAGAGGCCCTAAGCAAGATCTTCAGAAGCGCCTTTGGACCCCCCGCAGCAACTGCATGCCCCCACAAAACAACACCAGCAAAGGGCAGTTGGCTTCTTGCACCCATGTCTTGGCACCTGCCCCAAGCAAAACCAGAGTAACCCGTTTAGCCTACCTTGTGATGCCTGGCCCAAAAAGAGTAGGTTTCCTCTTGAAATATCAACCAAAAATCCCCAGAACTCTAAGCAACACACCCTAAACAACATACCCTAAACAACATACCCTAAACAACATACCCTAAACAACATGCCCTAAACAACATGCCCTAAACAACATACCCGAAGCAAAGCGCCTCAAACAAAACAAAAACACCTCAACCCAGGTCCCGTGGTCGGGCCGTGGCCTGGCTGCTGTCGCTTTTGGCACGGAGCCCCAACTCCGAAGGTCTGAAGGTCCAAAGGTTCGGGCGCCGCAGACCAAGCCGTCTGGGGTCAAGAGGTAGAAATGCGGCCCACATTTGGGGTACACAGAAAATAGGTTCAGATGCGTGCCGTCGAATGATGTACATGCCTTCATGCTGGATGCCATTTGGGAGCGAGGAGCTTTTCAGCCTTTGCTCGCTTCCGTACCCGTACAAGGCCGGTTCGTGCCAGGGGATTTTTTCGGGGGGGGGGGGGGAATCAGCCAACCAAACTATAACATGAATTTTGATTGCTACCAGCCCCGGAACAGAATTTGGCCCAAATTAATTTCACTTCCCACCAATTGACATGGAACCTGACAGGGAGGTCCTAGAAGACCATGTTACTTTTGAAGGGACCCCTTGTCGGGACCTCCCAAGTCACCTGTCGCAATTTTTGGTTTCCCTTAAAAGGGCTTCGCGCCGGCCAAGGACTGGATCTACAAGCGGCCCTATGTGCACGCCGGGCGGCATAGTGCGGATGCCGGGTATGTTTTCTCAATGGTTCCCAGCCATCCGGTTCCATAGCTTTTCAGCTTTTTAGTGTTTAGTGGTTGGATTTCCATGCAACCTGCTAAAAGTTAAACTTTTAGAGGGGGATCTGAGGGCAGCCCGGTTTTGAACACCTAACAGGCTTGCCTGTTGAGCCGGCAGATGTCGACTTGTTTGCTGGTAGGTTTCTTCATTCATTTTAGAAAAAAAAGGATCAAGCTTTCCTTGCAGAGAAGCAGGTTCGGAAGGCGATCCGCACTTTTAGATCCTTTTCCTGGTTTCGTGCAGCGCCAGGTTTTGACTGCGGCTCTCATGAGCTGTGGGGAGGAAAGCCGATTGGGTGGGAAAACTCAGCAAGCAACGGTTCATTTGTGTGTTTTCTGGTTGGTTGCTTGCTTCTTTGCTTGGTTTGTGCGGTTTGGTTCTTTGCTTGCTTGTTTGTCTGTCCGTCTGTCTGCCTGCCTGGTTGGTTGGTCGGTCGGTCGGTTGGTCAGTTGGTTGCTTGCTTTCAGTGGCCCCAGAGTTGCTCTTTGGGGTGTCATGTTTCCACCAATCCCTGTACAGCAGTGCTTTTTCCATATTTCTCGCTTGGAGACAAGGAAGTGCCCGGCTTGCTTGGTTCATTGTTTGGTTGGCTTGCTGGTGCTCAGTAGGGAATGTGGGAGTGAACCCAGGGATTTCCTTAAAGGTTTCACCAGTTTGATGGTTTATAAGTTATATAAAAGGGTCATGCCAAGTCTCATTGCCTATCGCAGCAGCAAGTTGGTTGACTGGATGCTTGGTTTGCTTGGTTCGCTGTGTTGGTGTCTTCGCTTCAGGACCAGCTGGCCTACAGCCTCTTCCTGGGCGCGACGCCCTTGGTGGACGAGGCTCGAGCCTTTCAAAGTCAGCTCCAACGGATTTGGAGCAGCCAGGAAGGTTCAGGAGGGTTCTATGGAGAACTGGCATCCTCGATTTGAATCGACTTGAATCCCTAAAGGGTATCTGGGAAACCACCCCCACCTTCAAACCACCAATCAGAGGGGAGCTAGTCGAATTTGGGGATATCCATCAAGTTTTGAGCATCAAGGAAGTGCAAAGCCGAATCCCATGTTGAATCCCATTTTGACACATCTCCACCTGTAGTGGGTGTCTTAATCCACAACCAGCTTTGGGTGTCGGTTCAGCCACCTTTGGGTTGATGTCATTTGAACCAACCCTTTCAGGCAGTGCCACTTCTTTCTTCTTCGGATTATTTGAGGGCCTCAGCTCTGTCTCGTTGTTTTTCTTCCTTTTTTTTGTTGCTTCGAACTTGTTTGTTTTTCTAATCTTTAGTCGTTGGACTTTAGCTTTTTGCGAACATGTTTTTCATAGGGCCCACAAGTTAACACGGTTTGCTGAGGGCTCAACAGCAACCAGATAATAATTTTGTATTTGCATGCGAGCACAGCAGTCCTTTGTAGGTGAGTTTGCTTAAGTAGAAATAGCTGGCGCTCGTTCAGGTGATGTTTATTCCGTGTTCCAGGAAATCCCATCTGTTATGCCCAAAGGTCCCCTATGGTTGTGAATGGTTCTGATTATCAGGTAAGCCTTAATTAGTGCTTTGGATTGGTTGTTCGGATTTGGATTTGATAAAACGGGTTTTCCACCCCGGAATACCACCAAACCACCGGGCTCCAAACCACCAATTAGGGGGAAGCTGAAAAACTGGGATCGTTCTTCTTGGGTATCTTCCATTCGCTGAAATGATAATTTTTGCATTGTCCCTTGTTGGTTTGCCCGCTTGGTTTTCGTCGCCCTGGAGTCTATCACTACTGGATATACTTTTCTAATTTTTTCCAGGGAGCGAAAACGCAAATGGATTTGCACCCTCCTTGCTGTAGAGGGCGAACCAACCACCGATTCGGCTCCAAACGTTTGGTGTCCCTGAAAATTGCTCGCGCTAGTCTTTTGCCTATTTCTAGCAAGAGTTTGGTTTCCATCGTGCCCTTTCGACTGCTGATCCTTTATCCGGAATGATTTTCATGTTTTCCGGATGATTTGCGTGGCAAAGCGAAGATCGGCTTAGCGGCTAGGAGCCGCTGCCGCAGCCGCCGGTTTGGGCGCCGCAGGGGTGCCAAAGGGGTCGGAAGTTCGCAAGTTGGTGAGTCGAACTGTGCTCTCATGTGGGTGTCTTTGTTTGTGTTTTGTTTTGTTTGTTTGTTTGTTTGTTTGCTTGTCTTTGTGTATCTGCATGTTTGTCTGCTTGTTTGTCTTTGTATATCTGTTTGTTTGTCTTTTTACTTATCTATTTATGTATTTGTTTGTTTGTTTGTTTGTTTGGTTGCGTATCTGTTTGTTTGTTTGTTTGTTTGTTTGTTTGTTTGTTTGTTTGTTTGCTTGTAATGCTTGTTTGCTTGGCATTTGCTCCGCCCCCCCCGGGTCTTTCGGGCGGTTTTGTGGGACGATTGGGATCATTTCACTTTCTGATTGCCGCTAGATCAGCTCCTTTGCTCCTTCGACCGAAAGCACCTTTACACAGGATGTCTGAACGATTTTTCCCTGGAAGTGGTTGTGGGGAACAAAAACTCTCTAAGAACCATGGGCCACAAAGGGAATCCTCAGGTGCAACAAACCCTGAGTTGATGTCCAACTACCTAGCCAAGCTATAGCTTGTTCGTGCCCAGGAAGGTTTTTAACCTGCAACCTCAGTCACTGGGGGCGTTGCTTTCCCGCTCTCGAGCATCACGTTTCAAGTTAAACTGTTCAGGGGTTAGTGACAGGCTACCAAACAAAAAGTAAGAAATTTGTAGGGGTCTCCTTTTTTAGGAAACACCTAAATATAGGTTTGGTTCTCAATGTAAAGCCCCGCAAACATGTGAGTTTTCTATCGGGTTTCCTTTTCATGCGCCCTCATTTGGGAGTACAAACTCCCAACAAGACACACCCATATCATTTTGACTGTTTTGGCGGGGTGTCTCATTTTAGAAGCGAAGCTTCACTGTTGAAATGGTACCAACTCAAAAAGCAACACACACACACACGCCTTCCCCCCCAGCTCCCTGGACCCTCAAGCTTGCTTCATGGGGCGGGGAGAACCTCCACACGCGAGGCTGGACCCCAACATCTTCGCCAACGCCGCGCGTTTCGAGGGCCTCGGCTTCTCCTCCGAGGCTTTTTTTTTTCTCCGAAGTCGTGCGGGGGTGAAATTCAGATTGGACCCTTTTGTACAGATCGCCTTGGGCGGTTCCCAGCTATCCGGTTCCTCAAGTTTTGCATCTCGGTACTCCTGAGGGTTTTCAGATGTTTCTAGTTGGATTCGTGGTAGTTTCCACTAAACCAAAAGGCGAGTCTGGTTGTCCAGACCTACCTTGCCCAACTAGATTTCCCCGGGGGGGGGGGCAAGGGTTAAGCATCACCCTGCTCCTGATAGCCATTGTAGGATGTTCCCTTTTGTTTGTAGATGGCGTGGTTTCCATCAAATGGGTGTGAGTTTCAAGAGTCGGAGCCAGGTTGATGGACATGAATCCTCACCTACATGATGTCCACCAAAGGGTCCCTAACTCAAAATTCATGCGCAAATGATGGTTGGCATAGACTTGGACAGTATCCTTCGGTTCCCTTTTAAGGGGAACCCACCTTTTTTTTCTCATGGTTACCTACTATACTGGCGACTGGCAGCAATGGGTCATTTGTCGGGCCAAGTTGGATTCAGCTCTGAAAAGCAGCTTTACCGGCTGGTTTGGGGTGGTGCTTTTTGACCTGGTGGCCTTTTTGGGGTTGGTTCAAACGGGAAATCCATGTTCGGGTCATTTGCTGACACACACCCACGATCCGATTCCGCGGTGGATTTTTGGACGTATACCGGAAGGAACCCAAAAGAACAGCCCCCACCCGGCACTGGACGACCCTTTCAGGGGTCCCAAGTCCTATTCGGACAGGTGGAGGACTTGGTTCTGTTCCACTTCTTCGATGGCAAGGTGCTCAATCGCACGTGAGCTCCCAACCTACAGGCAGGTGGTACAGTTGACCCCTGATTTTTTGCACCCCCCATGGCCAGTCCTGATCCCCCACAAACAAAAAGATTCCCCGCTAAAGAGGTGACACTAAGTTGTGTGTGTGTGTCTTATCAATCAGGGGTCGGCGTCCAATTTGCCGATTTTGCAACGAGTTAACCATGTTAACGGTCCTTCACTTGAGCATCTGTTCAGGTGTTGGAAGGATTCTGGAGCTTGCAGAGTACATGGTTGCCAGGGATTATAGTACATGGATGGGTTTCTGGTAGGATTTGCCAACCTGAGCCTGTTTTCGGTGGTTTCTCTTGGTTCCCTGTTATCATTCTGACTGGAAGCACCGGGACCCGGTCATGGGAACTAGTTCGTGCTTTTTCTTCTGTCGCTGTTGCTTGGCTGCGTCTCGGGCAAGTGACACGTTTGGACTTCAACAGTGTAGCCCCGGAGAATTGGTTGGCTTGCCCGGAAAAAACAGGGCACACCCTTCTGCCTGGCAGTTCTATTGTTTTCCGTGTGAAGCCACCCAACATAGGTTTCTCCAAAGACCGCAAAAAGTTGGTTTCCTTTTCAAGGCGTCTTCTGCACATTCTCCAAAGGGTGTATTTTGAGACAGGCCTGTGGTGTTTCACAAGACTCAGCATGGCTTTCTGCTTGGGACCCGCTCAAAAGCGTTCCAAACCGATTCCCATTGGCATTTTGCGATAGTGAGGCCAATAGCACAAACCTTTACAAGTATGGTTGCCAAACCAACAATCCATCCAATCAATTTGGCTCTGGCTTTGATCCCACGGAGAAAACAGAGGAAGGTTGGGCTCAGAATGACCAGCCCCTTTCGGTTGGTATCTAAGTGAAACCAAGCGGACGCCAAACATCTTTAGGGGATCACTATTTAGAGAAACACCTTGGTTGGATCTTTCGCCTTTCACTTTTTGTGGAACAGGCGTGTCTTCTTTTTGGGGGTCGGTTTAAAGGGAACCCGAAGCAACCCAGCCCAATTGAAGCTTGAGGCTGGAACTCCAATTCCCCGGAGGGGGTGGCAAGGGGCCGAGCTGACTTTTGCTGGAGTCGAGCCGTCGAGTTGGCGAATTCTGTGTTGGCCATCCCAGCGATTTTCGTGTAGACCCGAGCGAATTGGCTGTTGCAAGGGAACAACCGTAAGAAAACAATAAATATTTCTTGAGAACTCCTGACTTGTTTTCATATTAGTTGGGGGATTTGTGGGAAACCACAGGGGTGCGACTGAAGCTTGCTGGACGTTTCGCTTGGAGTGTGTGCCGTTGTTCGAGCTAAAGGAAACCAATCCTACACCTCGATCACACCTTGGACCTGATGGCTGATGCTTCTCAGTTTGGGGCTCGGCCAGACGATTCCTATGGTACCTCCGATTTCCTTGAACGTGCCCAGAAGGCGTGTTGGGTGCTGACACAAATGCCCAAGCTCCAAACCTGGGGTCGGTGCTGTAGATTGATTGGGACAAACCGCCGAATTAAGAACTGGTGACCAGGCCATGGCCCACTGGAGTGTTGATCATGAGGTAGTTTGGCCATTCGCGGACTCCCTCAACGTGCGAATTGGTGAAGATGGGAGTCTTGTGTTAGTAAGTTGTTGTTAGCCTAGGTTATAACAATAAGTTCCACGTTCAGTGGGGTTAGCCTTGTTTTGGAGCTACTATCTGACTAACTTGGCAACGTACATGCAAGTATCTTGGTAACAAAAGAGGAGCCATTTTTCCACGGCATGGTCAAAAGACAATCACCCACCAAAAAAACATCGAGCCCATAATGGTGGACATGAATCCCCACCTCAATGGTGTCCACTGTTTCGGGTCCCAATCGAAATTAAGTTCCGAATATCAGCTTCCCTCTAATTGGTGGTTTGGAGCCGAATTGGTGGTTTGGTGGTTAAGGGGGTGGCTTTCCTTTTGCCCTTAGAACTGGGGGTTCAAATCCAAATCCAAACCGCCAATCCAAACCACCCAGGAGAGGGAAGATGAAGACAGTTTGTGGAAGATCACCAGGACTGTGTTTTTCCCCTTGAGTGGTTTAAACATGATCTTCTGGGCAAACTGTTGGGCAAGAGCTTGTTCTGGGGTGATGTTTCAAGGGAACCCTCACAGCACGTCCTCGACACCGCAGCCTTCGCCGCAACGTGGCGTGTCGGTCGCCTCGGTCGCCATGGGCGGGTGGCTCGCTCTGGCCCTCGCGGCGCTCTGCCGGGGGCATGCCGAGCCTCCCATCGGCCCGCAGGGGGGGCCGGAGCAGCTCCATTTGGCGCTGGGGGAAGCGTGGCAGCAAAGAGGGTCAGCAGGTTTCAACCGGCCATTTTTCCATGTCGAGCTATGCCCCCCCAACTCATAGGTTTGGTTGGAGACTGAGCGTCTAGGATGAATTTGCGTCTGAGTGCCAACTTGGAGAGCCCTTTTCGCCCCGGACCAGCCCAACTTGCCGACCCCAAGCTGAACCATCCAACTGGTGGTTTCCGTCAAGGGGATCGATCCCAAACGGTCTATTCTCAAACCCCCGATGAACATTGTTCCTCCGAGATTTGGTCAAGCTTTCCGGTCTGCCCATTTGCAGGACAGGGGACGTGCTCTAACGTTTCCCAGACACTTTCACTCATGGAGCACTCGCCGGCATTGAGCGCCCTCGGGTTTCCTGAAGCCTTCAAGCCACATGGGTAACGTCCCCATTTTTCCAGGGATCCTTGTGTCCCGAAATCCGCCAACGGGAAACCACTGGGTTTTGCTAACGCTGTTTGAAATCAATGGCGATCCTTCCAGGGGTCCTTCAAGAAATCCACCAATAGAACCCCTTTGTGGGTTGCTTCTAGTGAACCAAAGGAGGCCGAAACCCGCTGGTTTTGGCGGTTGAAAAGACTGAAGCACCCCCCAGAAAACTTGCTGGTGCTCAGTACGGAATGACTCAGGGTTTGGGGGATGAACCGTTTAAGGATTTCCTTAAGGGAACTTATAGGGGGTGGTGTATTCCACGGGTTCCGTTTCTTATTCCCTGCCTATCGAAGCAAGAAGAACGGGGCTCCGGGTTCTCCGGGAGTGAGCCACGTGCTCAACACCCGGGTAGATGAAGGTCAGCAAGGGGCGTCCCAGCCAGAAATAGTTGCGGATATCCGCCTTAATTCTTGAAGCATGTCTCTGGGTTTGGAAAATTTTAATACCATGTTAATCCACCAAGCAAGGTGAAACCACCGATTTTGCCAACGCTTGCTTCTATTGAACCAAAAGGAGGACCCCAAAACGGACACCCTTTCTGGTTCTGACGGTAAAAACAGACTGGCGAGCCCGAAGAACGAGCTCCGGCTTCTCCCCATTTCAGCTTTCGCTTCAGGAGGAGCCGTCGGTGATGACGGTGACCTTCTTTAGCGCGGTGGCCTATGAGAACTCCAGCTGCAGCCTCCGTGAGGGCTCCGAGGCGCGTGACGAACGCTGGCTCCCCGAGCTCCCGACCCCTTGTGTCACTTGGGTACAACGACCAGTTGAGCGGCAAAAACACCTCAGGATTTTTCGGAGAAGTTCCAGTGAGACATTGGGGCAGAAGCCGCTTGTGAGCGGCCAAGGATTCGAATCCCATTTCAAATGAGTCGTGACCATATGTGTGTATATATATACACATAGCAAGGGTAGCCATGCTTTGAACGAAATTTACGGAAATCCACCGGAAAAAAAAGGGGAAAAACAACAACAACTGTTGGAGGTTCCCATGTTAACACTATTTCACTTTCCGAGTTCATCACATATGTTCTGGGGGCCCATTTTGCCACCAATCTTTTGGCGTTGTTTTGAATCGAGAATCGACAAACAAAACAAAGACCGAGGGCAAATGGATTGGGAAGATTCAACCAACCCTTCTTTTTCCTCGCAAAACAATTCAGGCCAGAATCGGACAAGCCAAGGTGAGGAGGGGGACGGGGGTTGGATTTTGTTGGTATGAAAGATTGGGTATAGGGCAGCGCGGTATATTCCGTGAAAACTGCTGCATATCAACAAACGTTTGGGTCTGCCCCCTGGGTAGGTTTTCTCTGCCGACAACCCTACCAACACAACACCCCCACCCAACCACCCTCCCTAGAGTAATCTTGGTTCGGATAATCTGGTAGAAGTTTCTCAGGTAACCCTCGATGAGGTTTGCATTGGTGGTTTCGGGGTAAATGGGAAAACACCCTGCGGAATTCTCTGCCAATTTCGGGGTCCCCGAGTTCGGTTTTTTCAACGGACCACTTGTGCCCCGAAGGTCCGCACTTTTACCGGCACCTCGAAGCTGTATAGCAACCTGGGATGGTCCGGCAGGACCGTTGCTTCCATGTGCTTAGCAGAATGTTCTTTTTTTGTCCCTCTTGGTGGGGTCTTATTGGAAATATATCACTACCGGGTATGTTGGTTTTCCTTGGACTTAAGCCAATGTAAGGTTGCGAAAAGATATGAAGTGTCCTCTTTGTGAGGGACGTCTCGGTTTTTGGGTTTTTAAGGGAAGCCAAAAGGCACAGCACCATTTTTGGGGTGCCCCAATTTTAAGAGACCATGTTCCCCTCTCGCCAACATACATGGCCCCCCTACCTGTGCACTTCCATGGTTTGTTGGTGGGAGGCTATGTTGTTTGTTTCAACGCCCTTGTGGCCCTACAGCCTTGGTATTCTTGTTGCTGTGTACACAAAACACATGTATGATCTTCCTTTGCGTGCCGCTCATGTGTTTGCTTTTGACAGTCGGGGAAATCCTTGCCATGGGGATGAACTGTGGCGAGATGAGCCTGGACACACCTAGGGGTTGATCCCAGGGTTGAACAAGCAGATTCGGTCCCATACTGTGGATGGAGGAAATCCATTTCGCACCATGGTTGACACCATTGTTTGTCGGTATTTATCAAATAATGCCACAGTTTCTTAGGTGGTGCTGCATTTCGAAAACCGTCCACAGCTATAGCCAACCGAAAGGAGGATGTTTCAAGAGTCACGGGGTTTGAATTCCAGCCAGCTGTTTGCTAGGGCTTTGATTCAGGCAACCTACTGTTCCAGGATTTGAACCCCTGGTTCCTGTAAAGAGTAAATGGGACCCCTAACCTCCAAACCACCAACTAGCGGGAAGCTGATAGGTGGTTTTCTTGCGACAAGGATTCCTTTGAGAACCCTAGACTTAGGGAAGTGGCGGGAGGCTGTTTGAACCCCCCTCAAAGAAAAAGAACAGAAGAAGACGTCTAACATATTCTGGGGTCTCCTCCAAAGCCGGTTTAAGATTTAGGCTTGACCAGACATGAAGCAGAATCTGAACATCACATTTTCTGTCCCACTATTTTCGCCAACTGGGTGAGTTTCCACTGCCTGGAGATATGGGATAGAAGATTTTGGTGGTGAAGCTGCCGATTTTTTAGGGCGACTCGGTTCATTGCCCATGTTCGGGGGTCTGCTCATGTGACAGATCTCAGCTGTTTCCTTTCGAAAGCTTTCCGTGCCACAAAGAATCGTGCCCTTGAAGTCTTAAGAGAAGAATACCCTCAAAATAGCCAACATTTTGCCTTTTTTTTGGCCCTGCTTTTGGGCTGGGGGTTTGTTGAGTTTTGAATCATAGGTGTCCTTTTTGGTTGTTTTGGCAGAAAAATAGATGGCGAATCCTGGTATACCTGGTGGTTTCATCATCCACCAGGGAAACCCATCTATTTCCCCTAAAAGGACACCTATGTTTTGAAAATTTGCTCGACAGGATCCATTCTGTGCGCATGGACCAGCTGCCTGTGAACAAGCGGCTCTCCTACTCCTGCGACGGGGCAGCCCGGCTTCATGTGGCGGAACCATTCACATGACTTGATGGGCATCAGTTGATACTGTGGATGGTTGCGAAATCCATTTCGCACCACTTTGAAGCCATGGTTGAAACCACCGTTTGTTGGTATTTACAGGGGAATCGAATCATTCCAGGCTTTCTTAGGTGGTGCAGGATTTCGTCCGTCCACAGTACATCCAAGACTGGCTGCTTTCCTGTAGATCAGCTGGTAAATGTGATTTTCTGAGCGGCCCTAATGTATCCTTTAAGGGATCCTCTTGAAGCACAGGCACAGCGGCATCAACGAGGACCTCCAAAATGGTGGGATTTCTTTTGGTCTCCCGTCAATAGAGTTACCTGCAATGTTACGCAAACGCATCACAACCCGAAATCATCCTAGAGACTCAACCTGCAACCATCAGCAAAGCAAACCTAGGCGAAGATTGAAACAAGTGTCAAGCAATAAGGACAACAGACAGCAGTTTGGAAAGGAGAAGGAGATTTGCATCTTTGGAACCTCGGAGATAGCTCCTTTGGCCTGATGGTGAAAACCCCAGAGGAAGCTGGGACCCGACTGTATACTGGGGATGCACGAGATCCTCCACCCGCTGAGATGGATGACACCTGTGACAAAAGGGATAAAGCACCTACCAACTGGTGCTGGAAATATCCTCCATCAACACTATGCCTGTTTCATGGCTTGTACCGGTGTGTCAATCCTTTGCAGTTGTCTGTATGCAGCGTTGGTCAGCATGTTTCTTTGGTGTCAGTTTATCGGGGATCAAATGGTAACGGCAGGTCCTCAGCTCACAGTTTCCTATTGGATCCACTTCAGTCAATGATTCCTGGTTCTAGCTGGTTTCAAGGGCATAAACACAGCTATGTAAACCTCGACCAAGTTGGTAGAATGAATCTATCGCCATCGTTTGACAAAAACAAATGGGACCCCGCAGCTCAATTCTTGATTATCGCATGGTCATAGCCAGACAAGCACCGCTTCCTTTGAGTTGTCAACTCTTTTTACTCACATGTTTTCAAAGTGAACCATGTGGTTGTTGTATGTTTTGCAAGCTGCTGGCTTGAAGAGAAATGGTCTTGATTGGATTTAAGCGCATCCGATTCCCGCAACGGATTCTACTCTCTAGGTTTGTGGGGATAGTGAGGGAGTGGATGAACCTGGTTGGGTTTGTGTTGTTTTGAGTTGGTGCCCTTTTTGGTGTTCGATCAAAGGGACGCCAAAGGGAGCCACCTTGTATTCGGGTCTGCTACTTTGAGACAAATGTACAGCATGATGGCGCTGCCAAGCTCAAGTGGGGTTTTGGGCACTGCTCACTTGCCGAGTGCGGATGTTTGAAAGGGTGATGTTTGAAAGGGATGCTGAAGCAAAAGCAACATGACGCCGAACCTGCTGATTTGTGGTTTCTCA